AAATAAATGATAAAAACCACAAGGATGGACTAACAGTTTCAAACCATTTTAATGATTATTTTATTGACTCAGTGAATGAAATTATTCAACATGCCTCTGGATTGTTTCATTTTAGTTTATTGCCTCAGCCACCTGTTAACGATCATGAAGCTTTATGTTTTAAAAGCATTGATGGCTCTAAAACAGATAAAATAATACAATCCTTATCAAATTCAAAAGCAAAAGACTTTTGGGGAATTGATAGCTCTTTCATTAAAAAACATAGGGAGATTTTAACACCAGTTATAACATATATCGTGAATAAATCTATTGATGAGAGTATCTTTCCCAGTGTCTTTAAAACTGCAGTTATAATCCCAATATACAAATCTGGATGTAAAAATGAAATGAGCAACTACAGGCCTATTAGCATAATGCCTGTAGTATCTAAAATTCTCGAGAAAGCCATTTTAGAGCAGCTAACCGATCATTTCGACCGTAATAATTTGTTACACCCAATGCAGTTCGGCTTTAGACGTAATCATTCCACCGACGCAGCCTGCTGCTATCTGATGGAGAATATAAAGGTCAGCTTGGACGGAGGGGGCACGGTGGGTGCCGTGTTTTTGGACTTACGAAAGGCATTTGACACGGTGAACCACAGTGTCCTCCTGTCTAAGAGTTCTAAGTATAATCTGTCTATAGAGACATTGCATTGGATACAATCATATCTTGCAAATCGGATGCAATGTGTGAGGGTAAAAAATGTATTGTCCACTCTGAAGCCCAGCACAACAGGGGTCCCGCAAGGATCAATTCTGGGACCCTTGTTGTTCAGTATTTACATAAATGATCTCCCGGCTGTGTGCAAGGGCGTAGACATCATCATGTATGCAGATGATGCTGTCATCTACACACATGGGAGGGATATGGAGCAAGTAGCCACTAAATTGTCCTCAGCTATGGACAAAATAAGTAATTGGCTAAAAACTTCTTGCTTAACATTAAATACTAAAAAAACTGTTGGAATGTTCTTCGTTAAGTCAAACAAAGTAAAAGATATGCCTAACATCTATTTCAATGGGCAAAAAATTACTATCGTGACAGAGACTAAATATCTAGGTGTCCATCTAGATCAAACGTTAAGTTTTAAAAAACATACTAAAAAACTGTCTAACTCCATTAAATATAATATTTCTATTTTTAAGCATATTAGGAATAGTTTGACAATTGAGGCATCTTTCATGTATTTTAATGCCATGATTTCTTCACACATCACCTATTGTTTGTCCTGTTGGTCTCAGGCCAACGAGACTACACTTAAACCGCTCAGATCAGTCTATAATCAGGCGTTAAAGGTGCTTGACAGAAAAGCCCCTCGCTATCATCATTGCACTATTTTACGTAAATACAAAGTATTAAGTTTTGATTCCCTAATTCAATTTACAAATTTGAGAACTGTTTTTAAAATTATTAATAATCTAGCTCCTCCCTCGATGAAAAAATTCATAAAACTTTATTCGGAACAAACGAACCGAACATCCCGATCCACTGTTCACAGAAATCTTGCCATCCCGAAAAGATCCTCCGCCTTTGCACAGACAGCTTATTCATTTAAAATCATTAAACAATGGAATCAACTCCCCAACAGTTTAAAGATGTCTATAGATCTGAACCATTTTTCTCAACACTTAAAGAAATACATCCTTGAGAACCAGCTGTGTCAGCATCAGCACATTTAATGTATATTATGGGTAGAGATTGTCTTTTGAATATGTTCTCTCATTTTGAACATCTGTTTGTTTTTATATGATTTTCGTTGACTAATATTATGTGTAGCCTATTTGTCATTATTTTTACTATTGATAGTGGTTTTGTAATGTAATGTTTTAAAAATTGTGTGCACCTGCCCGGGGACTGCGGATGAAAATTAGCTTCGGCTAACTCTGGCACAAAACATCTTTTCGCAAGATTAATGTATTTTGTGTGTTGTCCCCGATAAATAAAAAATAAAAAAAAAATAAAAAAAACCTAATAACCACAGTATGTGGGAGCTCATATTCAGGAAGGCTGGATAAGGCCTGTGACCTGACATATGGAAGCTCATAGCCTGGAAGGCCTGGTGAGGCCTGTAACCTGGCGACCACAACATGTGGGAGCTCAGCTCACCTTACAATACATTACCTTTGCTTACCAACATGTCCCCGGCTCTGTACAGGAGACGAGTTCTGAAAAAGAAGAGAAAAATGTTATTTGCGCAGAAAAAACATTTTCACTCAACATAAAACCTGCAACGTGCGAAATGAAGCACACCAGGACACAGGAACTCAGAAACCTGAATTCTACTGTTTCACAAGCCAAGGGAAGGCGCTCCTAACAACCAAGCTGAAGCGGGCCATCAGAGAATTCTTGAACTCATCATGGGCCCCGCCCCAGGCCTGATGTAGGAGGAGCCTGGGAGCGATGGTGGTTAGGAGACAAGATCCAGGAAGGTGATGTCTAACGTTCAGTCTGAGAACGCTTACTCTGGATCACCTCCCTGAGATCCTGCCTCCCGCGGGAGTTACGCCTCCTGCGCGCCCTGCTCCCCCTACTAGGAGGAGGGGGTGCACGGGAAGCGACACTGGCCTTCTGGGTCCGTCTGTGATCCTCAGACCACGACGGACCAGGCCCTCCCGCCTGCCTGGGCTGGGCCGAGGACCTCCGCGGTATGCAGCTCTTAAACGCCGCAGAGCGCGCCCTCACCTCCCTGAACTTATCGACCACTGTCTCGACAGAAGGTCCGAAAAGCTCGGAAGGCGAAACCGGTGAATCGAGGAGAAAAGTTTTTTCTTTCTCCCCGATGTCAGCCTGGTTGAGCCACAGATGCCTCTCCGTGGCCACCATAGCAGCCATCGCACGACCGATGGAAACCGCAGACTGCTTGGTGGCCCGGAGAGTCAAATCCGTGGTGCGGCGCAGCTCCGCGACCGCGTCAGGGGACAGGCCGGCCCCCTGATCGAGGTCCCGCAGCAGGTCGGCTTGGTAGGCCTGAAGGACCGCGAGGGTGTGCAGAACCGCACCCGCCTGACCTGCTGCCGTGTACGCTCTGCCATTCAAGCGCGAAGTTGTCCTGAGCGGCTTGGATGGCAGGGTCGGAGCTTCTAGTGAAGACGACCGACCAGAGGCGAGATAGTTAGCCAACGTCTCGTCCACTGGCGGCATCGACACATACCCGTGCTCCGCGGCTCCCTCCACAGCAGCGAAACTAGCTCGCTGATGTAGATAGAGACGCGCGGAGAACGGGTTCTTCCATGCCTTCTCGATCTCAGAGTGGAGATCGGGAAGGAATGGAAGGCTCGTCCGAGCCGGTGGCTTACGGGTGGGGAGGAACCGATCGTCCAAAATACCACGAACAGGTTCCTCCCGGACGCGCCTCCACTGCAGCTGCAATCTGTCGGTTGCGCGCCCCATAACATCCACCAGCTCAGCGTACACTGGGCAGGAGGGCTGAGATGGTTCGGTCTCAACCAAACTAACATCATCAACACCCACCTCCTGCCCGGCCCGAAGAGAACCAGTTACAGATCCATCAGAGAGAGAAAGAACTTCCTCAACATCGACCTGTAACTCACCCTCATCAGCTGGCAGATCATCCGAGAGGTTAACACCCCTCTCCAGATGATCTGCCAGCTCCATCTGAGAACCCCACGAGCTCAACCGCCGCTGAGCCTCAGCCCGAGCGGGACCGGAACCGCGGGGTTCAGATGCCGCGCCCACTTCCCTCGAGAAGTGGGACAGACGAGAGCGGAGAGTTTTGATCGTAAACCTCTCACAGTTCGCGCAGAAAGCTCCCTCGAGAGCTTCCCGCGCATGCTCTTCCCCCAGGCAAAACACGCACAGATCGTGTGAATCTTCCGGTGTCAAATATCTAGGACACGGGTCAGCACACTTGCGGAAGGTATTACGCCGCGATGTTCGCCGTTTTACCCAAAGTTGAACATTTTTCAACTCTCGGCGACCAGTAAAAACGCCGCGCGCTCAGCGCTTCAGCGTGAAAAAAAAACGCTCAGCGCCTCGTTACGCTCATGGCGTTTAAAAAACATGGCGCTCCCATTGAAAACAATTGGAAATATACGCCAGCTGCGTGAAAAAATGCTTTGGTAGACACACGGTCTAAAGGTCTCAGTTGGGCTGCATGGTAGTAATCCTGTAGGCAAGGAAGGCCCATTCCACCCTTCTCTTTTCTTAGTTGCAGTGTCTTAAATTTAATTCTGGCCCTTTTCCCTTGCCACAAATACCTTGCTATTAATCTGTCCCATTCTAAGAACTGCTTAGGTGGTATTTTGACTGGCAGACATTGAAAAAGGTATAACATCCATGGAAGAATATTCATTCTGATTGACTCTATCCGGGAACTTAAACTTAAGAAGGGAATAACATTCCATCTTTGTATATCAGATTTTATCTTTGAATTTAATGGGCCACAATTGATGTCGTACAATTTTGAGAAGTCCCTAGGTAATAAAACACCCAAATATTTAATCGAATCAGCCTCCCATTTCCAATTGTACTTGGTCTTAATTGAGGCTGGTGGGTCATATTTAAATTTTAATATTTGAGTTTTATTGATATTAATTGTATAACCCGAAATGGAACCAAATTCCTCTAATAATTTCATCAGTTTTGGGAGTGTCTGAAATAGGTATAAATGTTCAAGTAACAATTTATATAATCCAAATATGTATAAATGTGTCTGACGACTAAACTACATTTAGAAAAGTAATATTTTTATGCTGGTACATTTCCACAGACACATTTGTGACTGAATCTATAGAAAATAACAGCTGCAAATACAAACTGCACTGGGCTGAGTTTCCTAAAAGCATTGTAAGTTGATTGTAGAACAATTGCCACCAATGGTCTCTACAATCAACTTAGGCTTATTCTTCTTTTAGGAATTGGAACCAAGGTCAGTGTATGATGGTAACATCTGATTGCCAAACTAATGTCATGTGGACTGTTGCTGTATGTCTTTGTAGATTGTCTGGCTGTATGGTGACAGAGGAAGGCTGTGGTTATGTGTCTTCAGCTCTGAGTTCAAACCCGTCACACCTGAGAGAGCTGGATCTGAGCTACAACCACCCTGGAGATTCAGGAGTCAAGCTGCTCTCTGATAAACTCAACGATCCAAACTACAGACTGGATAAACTCAAGTATGTAGAGCATGAAGAGTTGATTAACATATCACTTTGCAAAATGATTTCAGTTATTTCAGAGGTTGACAGCCTACAACAGCAAAAGAACCAAAACCCACAAAGACAAAGAAAATATAACAAACAGGATATTAATCACAAACCATTGCCATGATTTTCCTACAAAATAAATTTGTATTCACCTTATCCCGCTCTCCCATAAAAACGCACAAACAGAACACACAGTGCTCATACAAGTGCACAGAAATGTAATGTCAGCGCTCCCCTGCAATTTCATCAGTAAAATAGTTTTGGAACTTAAGAAGAAGGGACTGTGTTAGGTGAGGTCCAGTGGTGTGACATATGTGCACATATCCGACTTTTCTTATTTCAAAATATATTTATTGGCATTTTGTGCAGATACAACATCGTGTATATATAAAACCCACAGCTCTGCTTTTCTCCCCTCTGCCCTTAATGCCTCAAGTACAACTTCACTATACTTACAATACATATAACAATAACAATACTATAAGTGGGTAACACTTTATAATAACTGCACGCTATTAATCATTAGTTAAGCATTAGTAATCAGTTAATTCATAATTTATAAAGCATTAATATACATTAATAAGCAGTTTATAAATACAGCTATAATTGCTTTATTCTTGATTTAAAAGCATATCTATAATGTGTTTAATAATTGTATTTTCATACTTTATTAATACTCAATTTATCATTTCTAAATGAAGTATTGCATTATTTATAAACCAGTTATTTAAGAGTTGTCAGTGGTTCATTAGATTACTTAGAAAGTGTAAGTAAATGATTAATATACTATTTAAATGTACATTCATACATCTTATTATTCAGACATATAATAATAGTTACTTAGTGTGTTAATAAATGCTTATATAATAAATTAACTATTTTTGGGGGGATTCATTTATTGATTTTTCATAGATAAGATTACCCAAAGGTTTTTCACAATACACAGAACAAAAATTGACCCTCTGAACCCCCCAGCAGTCCAATCTACTGATCCTTGTAGTAAAATTGCAATCAAAACAAATTACCTAAAATAAAATATATATAAAAAATAGATGCATAAATACAAAACACAGATACAGCTGATATGAGCAATATGAGAAACACACAGATAATCAGAGGTTTACATGTTCAAATTGTACCTCAAATTAAATTCTTCCATCTAGAAGCTTTCCTGTCAGTTCACTGCAGCAGCAGCTTTCCATACCTCAAGGCTGGAGGCTCTAGCTTTATTTATTCTAGCCATTGAACGTTTTAACATTACTATATCATGAAACTGAATATTGTGAGGGAGCCATCTTTGCGCAATTATCTTTTTGGCAGATGTTAGACCAGCCAGCCATATCTTTCTTTGTAGCTCAGTGAAACCTAAATGTGACCCTGGTCCATAAAACCAGTCGCATGGGTCAATTTTTTGAAATTTAGATTTATACATCAGCTGAACACTGAAGAAATAAGCCTTCCATTGATGTATGAAAAATCCAAGATGTCCATGTCTTTCTTTCTTCAGTTGAAAAGAAATTAATGTTTTTGATGAAAACATTCCAGGATTTTTCTCCATATAATGGACTTCAATGGGACCCAAACGGTTCAAGGTCCAAAAGACAGTTTCAGTGCCGCTTCAAAGGGCTTTAAACGACACCAGACGATGCATAAGGGTCTTATCTAGCGAAACGAACGGTCATTTCAAAAATAAATACAAAAGTTTACGTCTTAAAAGAACAAATGCTCGCCTTGCTCTGTTCTGTGATGCACGTTCGTGACTCTCCTGTTCGAACTCGTTCATCAAAATGAACGAATCTTTTTTCGAGTCATTTCGTTCATTCAACTAGAATTTACATTTCCAGAATAAAATGTGAAGTGGTGCTTGCAGTGGCAAAACTCGCCGCTCGGTTGCTAGGGTGTGGTACATAATTGTATACGAGCCAACAACTATGTCTGTACGATGTTGTGGAGCTTAAACATGGCTTATTCATGTTGTTTTTATAGAGTTCTTAGCATGTTCTAGTTATGATTTAACACGTAACTAATCGCTTTTAGCATGTAGCTATTCACTGCTAGCATTTGTAGCATATTGGAGGTGCTGTTTTCCTGCATGAGTCAAAAGAGCCAACCCCCATCTTTATACGATGTTCTGATGCAGAGATATAGGTCTTGCTAAATGGTTGCTAGGGTCAGGGCCGTAGCTAGAGGATTCGGGGCCCCCTGAAAAAATATTGATGTGGGCCCCCACCATCCTCCACCAATATCATATACTGTACAATAGATGAACATGGAGGCCCACATAACAGAAGATGGTGATGTTGTTGTAAAACCTTTATTTTAAAAGTTAAATGTTTATATAAAAATTACAACTAATAAAAACTAACAAAAAGCAAGAAATTGTTCAATAATAATAAAACCAATTTTTAAAAAGTAATAATTTTTTTCCCCATCAGTCTGTTATAATTCATAAATCAAAAAGTAAACATTTAGAAATTGACAAGAATGCAGTCTAATTAAAAAAATAAAACCATTCATTGTCTTATTTTTTAAGAAAGATAATATGGAACTGGTAATATTATTAAATAAAGCGAATACATTTATTCATCCAAGTGCAGTGTAATTGTTTTAAAACTCTAGTTACAATAGTGTAAAAAAACAGGAATTTAGACCACGTAATCATTCGGTCGATTGTGGCGCGCACCGATAATAAAAAATGACTGTACACGGCAGACTGTAGACGGAAGTTTTCTAATTCCCAGCGAAATAACAACATATAACCTGTAGAGGCTAATACCTAATGTCTTAATTCTTTTAGCCTCTCGAGGTTAGATGAGGAGTATCTTCATATCTACATGTCCATTAAGCACGCACGGAGAAGCGGTCATAACAAAAAAACGTATTTATTGATCGCAATCTCTGGTTTACTTTCCAAACAAAAAACAAAAATTGACATCCAAGAAAACACTATCAGTAACATGCATTTCATGCGATTGAAGAAACTGTTGCTCTCCAAACTCTAACCTGTCTGTGCCAAACAATCCTACCTCATTATCAACACCTGCACTCACGCATCGTAGTGACGCGTCAAAAGGGGAGGAGTCAATAAATGTACTTAACCCGGTTAGTACAAGTATTAAAAATTAAACAGAATTCCCTTGTACATTTAAAGCATAATATTATGTATTACAAAATAAATAAATCAAATTAATCTTTACTCAATGATAATAATGGTAGTACACATTCTGAATATGGCTCCAACATCCTGGCCCCTAATTGTTAATGCCAAAGCAGAACAATTACCAAATAAGATATCTAATGGAGTCAGAACTCATATGACTAGATACAGTATTGCCATATGTACAGTATACAAAAACAAATGTCAATTTACATAGCAATTATCACATTAATCATATTGCATTTCATTCATCAATGTTAATACATTGTGATATCTTACTTCATCTATCTTTTTTAACAATTCTCATGAATCACCCCCAAAGTTCATACCATAGATGTGTCTAAAGCACACTCCATAGGGAAGGATACAAAAAGTCCAATGGGTGTAAATGTGGTGCGAAAGATGAGAAGTCCATGTATGTGCAGATTTTGAGTGTATATGTGGTGCGAATTTGAAAAGTCCATGTATGTAAAGATTGTCACGGTGCATCAATCCGGGTGTTCGTTCTGTGTCTCTGTTGGTGTGTTTTGTAGGCGTGGGTTTGTGGGTGTGTTCTACCTGTTTGTTGTTAGCACCAGCTGGTTCTTATCAGCCTTCAGCTGCAGCTTGTCATTAGGCTTGTTAGCTGCCTTTATATCGCTGGAGTTTTCTGTGCTTAGTGTCGGTTCGTCACTCTTGTTTGTCTCTCACACAGTTCCTGTGCCCTAGTCTCCGTGCGGAGTTTTGTCTGTGTTTCCTACGCATCCAGCGGTTTGGGAGATCGCCTGAGTCTATTCACCTGACTATACATTTACATTTACATTTAGTCATTTAGCAGACGCTTTTATCCAAAGCGACTTACAACTGAGGACTAAACCAAGCGAGTCATCGTGAAGAGGCAAAAGCAACGCAAGAAGTGCTCAAAATACAAAGTTCAGCCATGGCTCGGAGTAGCATAAGGCAGGCAAGCGAGGATTTAGAGGAAAGGATTTTTTTTTTTTTTTTTTTTTTTTTTTTTAAGTTAAGTGCTCCCGGAAGAGATGAGTTTTCAGTTGTCTTTTGAATGTTGTCAGGGATTCTGCATTCCCGATGAGGGTGGGGAGATCATTCCACCAGCATGGAACCGTGAATGAGAATGTTCTGGAAAGTGATTTTGTGCCCCGCTGTGATGGTACCACGAGCCGTCGCTCATTGACCGATCGTAGGCTTCTGGTAGGGATGTAGACTTGTAGTAGTGAGTGGAAGTAGGAGGGAGCTGAACCTGTGGTCAATCTGTAAGCAAGCGTCAAAGCCTTGAACTTGATGCGAGCAGCGAGTGGTAGCCAGTGCAGAGAGATGAGCAGAGGAGTGACGTGGGCCCTTTTGGGCTCGTTGAAGACCAGACGAGCTGCAGCATTCTGGATCATTTGTAGAGGTTTAGTTGCACATGATGGAAGTCCAGCCAGAAGAGCATTGCAGTAATCAAGCCTAGAAATGACCAGGGCCTGGACGAGAAGTTGTGTTGCATGCTCAGTTAGGAAAGGCCTGATCTTCCTGATGTTGTGCATAGCAAACCTGCATGATCGAGCTGTCTTTGTAATGTGGTCTGTGAAGGTCAGCTGATCATCAAAGATTACTCCAAGATTTCTGACCGACCTTGATGGTTGGTAAACTATAGGTTTACCTTCACTGGAGATTTCCCCGTCGGACTCCTTCCAGGTCGCCCGCCTGTTAAACGTGGTGTTTTGAGTATCTCCTGTCGAGTGTGTACATCCTCGTCTGACGTCTTCCAGTCGGAGTGTTGTCTTCCAGGTCTCCCGCCTGCTAAACGTGGTGTTTTGAGTATCTCCTGTGC